CCACCCAAAGCTGAAATCCCACCTCAGCCATGGTGGCTGCTTTCCCTGAGCTGGCTTGGAGCTCACTCTTCATGAAGCATTACTGAACTTTTCTTTGTAGCATGATTTATTAATTTGTAATAGTTTATTTGACAAATGAAGAAAATGGGACCATTTAGTGCACTATGACGAGTGTTTAGTTTCTCATTGGCTCCAGCTAGTAAATGTGAGTGTTGCTGTGAGCCCCTTCCAGCTGCCAAACAAGGTGTCAGCACAGGGCAGCTACCAGGGATCTCCTCCAGGTGAGATGTGGGCACTGTTCCCACAGCTGGGCACCCTCCTGTCACACACAGGGACAACCCTGAACCCACAGGGATGGATGTGCTGCAGCTCCTGCCTGCATCAAGTGCTGCAGCACCTGCCTGCATCAAATGCTGCAGGTTACAGGTTACAGGCAGGAGGAACACAGCTTGAAGCCAGCCTTGATGAAAAAAAGCAAAATATGCATTTATTTTTTCACCAAATGGACACAGCATTGTTCCTGAAGTGACAAATTTCAACAAAATGGTAATTTCAGAAAATGGAAGCATTCCTCTATGACAGTACAATACACTGAAAAACAAACCTGAATGATAAATTCCAGGCAAAGTATATTGTTACCTGCCCTGGTTCTGCACTGGCTGGAAGTTGTCTGGTCAGGAAGTGGAACATCACATCCATGCAAATAAATCCTCCCAAGGCAGGATACTACCCACATTCACACAACTTCCAGATGGTTCGGAACACAGGCAGAGGTTATTCTTTCCCACTTCCAAAATATACTGGCTATGCACATCCTGGATCACATTGATTTTTATACACAGGATATGAGTACTGAAAAAAGAGCCAAAAAATGTATATTTGTTTTTCCCCCACCACAGGCTACATCCAAAAATGTATGTACAAAGAATGTGTTACAGTTCAACCATGCCAAGTAGAAAACAATCACACTACAGGTATCAAAATGAAAACCTTCATCTACTGTCTCATTTTGGTCATGTGTTCTTCAATTCATACCAAATCCTCAGTCCAAACCTGGTACACAAAACCAAGCCCCCATGCACTTCTTTTTTAATTGTAGTGCAAGAGCTGGGTTGTTTCACTGCAGCTCATCAGAGCTGGTACCATCACTGGGAACAAGGTGCTTGGAATGAGTCCCCTTATCAGCTGGATCCTTTTGAAAGCCGCTCATCTTCTACAGTTTGTGAAAGAAACTTTGTTACAAACACGGGCTTGGGCTTGCTTTGTTCAGTCAAACACAGAACCTGCTCGGTCCCTTCCTCAAAGCTCCTGCTAGAAACAGGTCACGGCAGCCTTTACCAGGTCACCCTCAGCACAGAGAAGCTGTCACCTTGGGGGATTTAATCTTAAAGCAGATCTCCCTGTGTTCTACATTTATTTAATCCTAATCTGAAGATATAAAAACTCATATTGCAGTTTATCAGATTTATAAGAGGAAAAAAATTACACTTTGTTAAGAATTCCTATGTTTAGGCCAAGAACTCGATGAAAGGGCTTGAAAACAGTTTTCCAAAAAGGATCAGTTTATTTTGGTGGGTCTGTGTTAATTCCATATTTTTCCTTGAGAAGTTTAAGCTGTTCTTCTTTCTTCTTTGTGTCCATCTTTTGGAATGCCTGTAATTAGGAAAAGAAAAGATGTAAGAAGACAAAAGAAACCTCTCATCTCATGACAAATGATTTCCCAGTATCTGCAACAAGCATCACTGTGAACTCCATCACCATCACACACACAGAGCATTGTTTGATTCTTGTCCTTGGAGAATGTCACAGGGCCCTGGATGTTGTTGGTGACAGGGTGGACACAGAGAACTGGAGACCTTTTACCCATAAACAAGATCTCCCCTCCTGCTGCAGCTATGCAACTGTGGGGCCTCTGCACCCTCTTCTCCAGAGTACACCCCCACAAACATGTTTTTCCCACCTTTGTCCAAAGTTACTTTTTTTGCACACAAACCACCAATATGAAACTCTGACCATGTATCCCATTCACTCCCTCTAACAGTTTGGATTTTATTTCTTAGAAATACCCAAGCAATGGTCTTTACAAACTGCTGCTGGGGTTGTTCTGTGTGACAGCTCTGCTCAGAGGTGACTCCCCCAGCCCAGTGTCGTACCCTGTTGGCGTTGTAGTACAGAACCACGAGGTATCTGTTGCACACGTTGAACCCCGACAGGTGGTCGCAGGCGTTCTTGGCGTCGAAGATGTCCTCATAGACCACGTAGGCTGTTCCTCTGGTCTCAGGGGTGTTCCCACTGCACAGCAGGGGCACAATCAAGGTCAGATAAATGAACAAGAAATAGTTTATTTATTTCACAGTGACTGAGATTAGATGAACTAATACAACATCACTAAAAACCAATTTGTTATTTTTTCTAGCTATTAAATGACATCCCTGTTTTCCACACCAAACAGTTCAGAGCCAGAGACAACAGGAAAAAAAGTGCTCTATTTTGCTCCATAAAGGAAATGCACCTCTTGAGAACAATTGGGTTGTTGAAGCTTTTGTAAGGGCTGCCATGCTGTGTTTGGAAATAATTTAAATCTTTATTATAGCAATGAGCTTTTATTTAATATTGCAAGACTTGGCTGTCAGTTAGTGGCTGTCTGTATCAGATGTGTCCCTAGGATGCAACAGGGCTCCTGGCATATCACAAAGTTAATTTAAGAGGCAGAACAGCCCCACTGGTGTAAGCCCACTGCTGAGGCACAGCCATCACCCACAGGAGCACCAGTTCCATGTCCTCTGCCTGAGGAATGGGACACATGTAACAGTAATGAGCCCAGAGGGGCTGCAGAGATCCCAGAGCTCTCAGCTAACAGAGGGTGACAGAGACTTCACAGTCAGAACAACTTCCCAAGGTGCTTCTGAGAACTCCTGAGGACAAATGGCATCACACATATCCACACTGGGATCTGTGCAAATGTAAGGAGAATGGGATTAACACTGCACAAAGCACAAAAGCCTTTACAAAGGGGCTTACACGTTATGCCCTGGCATTGACAATGTTGGGATTTCTGTGGGAAATTACATGAATTAGTAACTCTGAATAAACTTCTGAAAGCACCAGTGCATCATTCCAGTGGAAAGCCCTAGATATGTCCTAATTCTGTGTCCCACTGTCATGCTGGTCCAGCCCACATGTTTTCAGAAAACTTAAGTACTGGCTCTCCTTTATGCTCATTAGCAAAGAATTCCACCAGTGTGGAATTCACAGCCAGGCAGTGCTTACACTGCCCCTTTTTCTCTCAGCCACTTCTCCAGTCACATCCACTGCCCTTCCTTGCTCTGGTGTCACATCCCAGCATGGCACCAGCAGCACGTGTCCCTTTGGTGTCCTTTGCTTACTGAGGGCAACTCTGTAAAACTCACTTTATCCTACAGAACAATCAAACAAGTTACCCAGGGAAGCTATGGAGCTGTGGATGCTCCATCCCTAGAAGTGTTCATGGCCAGGCTGGATGGGGCCCAGAGCACCCGGCCAGCTGGAACGTGTCCCTGCCCACTGCAGGGGGTTGGAATAAAATGGACTTTAAGGTCCCTTCCAACACAAACCCTCCTATACTGGCCAAAGCTCAGGTCCTCAGCATTTGAACTAATGAGAAGAACATCAGAGTTGCTGCAATTTGTACTATCTCCACACACTTTAGAACCAAAGGCACAGTCACACCTCCATTTCCCAGACACGGTATGGCCAGAGGACATCCTGTCTCTGCTCAGGGCTTGCTGCTGGCATTTGTTTCCAGTGAACAGATGCAGCAGCAGCAACATCCCTGTTTTCCCACTGGTTAGCAGATACTCACAAGAAAGCTGTGCTCGGCTTCTGCCTTTCCTATTTTCACCCCAAGTCAAGGTAAAGCTTCAATTGTATTTGAAACTTACTTATGCAAACAAATCTGTCTATTTTATCAACTTCCCAAGTTAATTTCAAATTTAAGTTCATTCTCTGCACCTCCCAGCAGAATCATTTTCTAACAAATTCACGTGTTAAGAGCATTATCACATCCTCCTCTGGCACACGGGGCTCCAGGGCATCGAACCTTTCCAGCTGTGAAACCCTTCATGGTCCAAAGGAACCGGAAATACTCACACTCTGATCTGCCGGATGGGCCCGTACTTCCCAAAAATGTCGTACATCTCCTCGGCCGTGATTTTGTACGGCAGGTTCCTGATGTACAGGATCCGGTTGACCTCCGGAGGGAGCCGGATCTGATGGGGGAGAAACAGGCGGTGTGTTAGGCGCAGGGCACGTCCTGCGAACCTTAAACCCAGCAGCCCAGGGGCAAACCAGGGATGTGTGACACACGGAATGGCCGGGGCGGGCCTGAAGCACCACCCAGCTCCAGCGCCCTGCCGCGGCGTGCGGGAGCGGGACGGAGCCGGAGCCCGGCGGGGACGGGGCGGAGCGGAGCGGAGCGGAGCACTCACGTTGGCTCGTTTGGCTGCTTGCATCGCCATGGCGGCGGGACGTGAGGGGGGCCGCGGCCTGGGGCGGAAACACCAGCGGGGAAGGAGGCCGCGGCGGAGACAGCGCTAAGGGCCGAGCCCGGAGCGGAGACAGCGCTAAGGGCCGAGCCCGGGGCGGAGCGAGCGGCGGGACCGAGCCCGGAGCGGAGACAGCGCTAAGGGCCGAGCCCGGGGCGGAGCGAGCGGCGGGGCCGGAGCGGCGGGGCCGGAGCGGCGGGGCCGGAGCGGCGCGCGGCACAGCCGGGCCTGTCCCGGCAGGCACCGCGCGCTCCCTCACGGAACCGGATCTAGCGCGGGAAGCGGCGCGCGGCACAGCCGGGCCTGTCCCGGCAGGCACCGCGCGCTCCCTCACGGAACCGGATCTAGCGCGGGAAGCGGCGGCGCGAGCCCGGCCAGCCCCGCACGTGACCTCGCCCCGGCCCCGCCCCCTATTTAAGCCCCGTTCCCGCCCCTCGGCCCGGCGCGCCCCCACACGTTCGATGCTCGGTGCCGGAATTGCGACAGGAGCCTCTTTAATAAATGCTTCCTCCTTATCCTTTTCCCCTCCTCGCCACGCCCACGAATCGGTGCCGGTGTGGAGCAGGAGCGGCAGGATGGCCGCAGTGCAGCCCCCGCAGTGACTGTCGCAGAGCGGCTACTGCGGCGGCCCTTTCTTGACGCACGCGGGAATCTCGATGGCGATTTTGCCGATGTTCCTGTTTTCCTCCATAGCCCTGTGTGCCTCGGCGATGGCGTGCAGGGGGTAGACGCTGTCCACCACGGGCCGCAGGCGTGGGGCAGCCCCTCCGCAAAAATGGGGCAGCGCCTGCTCGGTGAAGGCTCTGACCAGCCGCTGCTTGTGCTGCGGAGAAAACAGCTGCAAAGTCACTGCCAGTCGTTCACTCACCCGGGTGTCCACAGCACGGCGTGTAAAAGGTACACAGCCCTCAGGCAGACACTCTGACATTCTCACACTGAAACGGAGATTAAAACACCTGACGGGTCTAAGTTATAAACAAGAAGAAAGCTTTTAGATGTATTACATAATTGAATTAAATTCCCCAAAGCAAGTGATGTGAGCTGTGCGGAACCATTTAAATCAAACTGATAAAGGTGTTGTAAATATTTTGTCTTAAACCGTGCACAGAATCCACCTTAGGGCTCTGCACTGCAGGTCTTTTACTGTCACATCTGAGAGTATTCCACATGAAATGAGCTTTCTTTGGTAGCTGGGTATCCAAATGGTCTTGGTTTCTACTTTGAAGTGACCTAATAGAGATTGTTACTTTTCCCTCCTCAGACTTGATCAAGCTGCCCAATCACTGGAGTTTTATTTCTTCTAGGGCCAAATATCTAACGGATGGTATCCATGAAGCACATTAAGAAGTCCTGGATGTCATTCCTCTCATTCGGGAAGGAATTTCATAAAAATGGGGAAAAAAAATTACAACTTAATTTTGTGACATTTTCCTAAGTATGTAGTACCAGTTCAAGGTGAGGCTTTTTTGACAAAAATGTGCTTAACACTGGTTTTAAAAGAAAGTTCTCAAAATGATCATAAATTTTAAGATCAAACCTCATACACTGCTGATAGCCACTACTTGCCTCCTTGTCTCGGGACCGTAACAGGCTTGTGTGGATGCTGGCTCTTTTGGAAATCAGCCTTGACAGCAAATCCCCATGGACTTCACCTCCACTCAGCAGTCCATAGATAATCCACCGGCCATCAGTTCTCAGACAGTTGAGATTCTTCTCCCAGTATGAAGCCCCAACACAATCTAAAATTATATCTACTCCAGAACCTCAAGTAGAAACAGAAGAGATTTCAGCAATGACGTCAAGCTGCATTAAGGGTAGGATAATTTCAAGCAAGACTAAAACCTTCTTATTTATAGGTACAGAATTGACCCTGCAATTCTTATTTAAGTCTTTCTACTGAAATTAGGAATTGGCACAGTGATTTGTAAAGAATTACAGAATCGGGCACAGAAGAAGAATCATCAGTTACCCATAAGCAAACTCAGAATTAAGCCACCCGAAATGCTTAGAAAAGCTAGATTTTTCTAACAGTTTAAGAATTAAGTGGCACTGGCACAGGTTGCCCAGAGAAGCTGTAGGTTCCCCACCCCTGGGAATGTTCAAGGCAGGCTGGATAGGGCTCAGAGCAAGCTGGGGTGTCCCCTGCCTATGGCAGGGGGTTGGAATGGGATTATCTTTAAAGTCCTTTCCAATCCAGGCCATGCTGTGCTTCTGTGATGATTCAAACACCAAAATGCAAGGATTTTGTCCTACAGTTCCTTGGGGAGGCAGCAATAACATGGTGCAATATTTATGCCCCAAATGAACACAGCCAGAGAGACCCCATGCAGAAAACAGCACAATTAAACTAAGGAAAGGCCCATTCTGGGCTGAGCAGGATGTCAGGTTGTGCTTCCAGGGTCACTACTGTCTGCTCTCTCACCAGGTGACAGCTGAAACTGAGTGTGTGTTCTCATGTTGGGAGGTTCATTTGCACTTTCACAGAGTTTTTTTACCTTGGGTGAACTCCAAGACCTTTTCACTGAAGTCTTCATTCTTGTAGTTGAACCCTGCAGCTGCTCCAGCATTTGCTGTTGCTTCCAGTTTCTCCTGAGTTCCTGCTGTCACAATGGGAATAGCCTTTGCCAGCCTCACCAGCTGAATGGCTGCCATGCCAACCCCGCTGGCTCCAGCGTGGATCAACACTCTCTCACCCTCCTGTACTTTACCTGGAGGAGGGCAGAAGCAAAGTGGTCACCCTTTGGGAATTACCTTTGAATTAAAATATGAACAGTCTGGAAGATAGTAAAGAGGAGATGGAAAGAGATGGCCTTGATTGGACTTTGGACAATCGGACATCTTCATAGCCTTCATAAAAGAGAGAAGTCCAGAAGCAGCAGAGGTTGCAGTGTGCTGACAGGATGGCTTCAGTGGAGGGACTTTGTCTTGGCTGTGTGCAATTCTGGGCATCAGTGACCAAGATGTTTAAGTGAGGGCAGTCACAGCCCTTTTATACCATCAGTAGAAAACACATTTGGAGGATGTTCATACTGAGAAATTATGCACTCAGCAATGGAGAAATAGCAGAAATGCTGGGTAACCATTAAAGACCAATCCTACCAATCATTTTACCATCTATTGGTGTCATTAATTTGTGTTCCACCACTTGCTTCTGCAAGTGAGGCACCAGGTAGGCTCCCACTGATCACCAGGAAACAGCATTGCTTGAAGCAAGTCTGCAGGGAAGTTATGTTTGGAACTTTTGTTCCTTATTGGATCTCTTAGATGCTACTGCTGAAGAGTGTAGAAGGATACTTCTCATCAAAGGAAAACCTTGGCAAGTGCTATTGTTTATTACCTTGGCAGTGTATTTTTAAAATTAAGCGTGTGGGCTTCTGTCTACTTTAAATCAGCTCAGAGTGGATTTTACCTACAAATAATATCTTTGTTAAACAAAGGTAGAAGACGTTGCCTACTGTAGATTCACAAGCAGCTAGTGATAAAGTTCTTGGTATGGTCATGCATGCAGTGAAGCCAGATCCTTAGAAATAAGATGTGTTTTCAGGTTTCTGGAAAAGGTGGGAATAATTTCAGGGTTTAGGCTTAATGGAAGGTGTTCCTGTCCATGGCAAGGGAGTGGAACTAGATCACCTAATTCCTTTTCAACCCAAACCATCCAGGGATTCAGACTGAGAAATACAGACAAAAAGAAATCAACCATCTTTCTATATCCTTCCTTGTAAATACATAATGAGCAGGGTAGGTTGGCACTGGGGAGAGGTGGTCATGATTCAAGGATTTGTGTCTGGCATACTGCATTCTGACCCACAAGAACAAAGTGACAGAGAAAAGGTTATTTGAAGGCAAACAACATTCAAATAGAGGTAACAAGGAGAGGATTTTGTAACAGAAAGAAAGATGAGCTGTTTTGGTGGAGTAAATGGGCAAATGCACCTCTCACCTACAAAATGGAGCAGCTGAAATGCTGTTAGCCAGGCTTCAGGAATGGCTGCAGCCTGAATAAAAGTCATATCTTTGGGAATTGGCATCAGGAGGCCTTCGTGCACTGTCACGTACTGTGCCTGGCCTCCCCCGGGGAGCAGAGCCATCACTGCATCGCCGATCTGCCACCGGCCCGAGCAGCCGGGACCCAGCCCAGCCACACTCCCAGCTGCTTCCAGGCCTAAAATGTCACTTGCTCCTTTGGGGGGAGGGTACTTCCCTCTCCTCTAAAAAAAAAAAAAAAAAAAACAAGAGAAGGCAAGGAAGGAAAAACCATTAATGACCTGCATTATTTCATTCACATGTCTCCAGCCTAAATTCCTATTTGTTTAATCCTGATTTTGCCCTGTGCATATGTTGCAGTAATTTGAGGATCTTCTAGCCTCTGGAAACACTTTTGCTTTCTAAGTGTTATTCTTCGTAAGTTAGAATAAATTGAAATATTTGTGAGTTTCCTCTCTCCAAGCTAATCCCTGCTCTGGAAATACTATGGTCTCCATTTGCAGAGCATGGCTTTCAGCACAAAGAAATAATTTGAATGTGAATTTGAATAAATTATCCCCCACTGGAACTGTGCCATTGGAATATTTCCTTTTCATCTCAAATGTCCAGAAAAGAGTCTAAGTCTAAAAAGACTGGAGCTTTCGTTTTACACATTTTGTTGAAAGGCAGCTGCCTTTCCATGCCAGCCCAGCACTGCACTAACTCAGATAAAAGCATTTATCTGCTGAATCAACAGATATCTCTTCTCAGCCCTATGAACTCTCCCATCCAAATGCTCACCAGGTTCAAACTTTTTCAGCTCATCAGATCTGTCAAGACTTCACAGAGGGGCTTGAAAAATCTGCGGTGTTTTTAGGTGCATAAATCTGTTTAACATACACGTACCTGGAGTAAATCAGCTCTATTCAGAGCACTGGCAGAGACCTTCACGAGAACTTCTCCTTCTCCTGGATTTGGTTTCATCACCTCTTTCATATAGAGATTTTCTGGGCCTCCTGGGCAATCAAAATAGGCTGCAAACATTTTCTCTAAAAAAAAGCCAAACAAAACCAAACTAAAAAAATATTCCATGAATGTATGTATGTGCAGTGGAGAAAATCTCAGTAATGAAAGGTAACAAATGGCTTTAAAAATTCCTGTTTATTTCCCTTGCCTCAGGAGATGATTGCTGTGTGCCTGATTTGCTGTAGTACAGGCTCTCACTGCTGCAGGAGTCTTTCAGGTACCTCCTCAGATACTGCTCCTGGGATCCTTTTGGCACCAGCAGATGTTGAGATGGGCTGAGCAGTCAAGCCTTCTCCTGCCTGATAAAATCAAATGAGGAACAGTCTTCTCTCTGCTCCCTAGGTCCTGGGTGGAAGAAGATGAGAAGGAGAGGCAATCACAACAGGAACAGCTGTGTTACTTCCTGAGAGCTGGTACTGCACTGAGTGCAGCAGAGAATGAGCTGCAGCCAGAGCCTCTTCAAGTAACCTGCACTGTGTGACAGACCACCCTATCCTCTGTAAAAATGACTGACTTTTGCACGGGAAAAGCTAAGTGCATACCTACCTATTTGTGGCAAGACTGCAAACTCAGAGTGATAAACAGCTTGAAACCCCAGGGATGTCAATCCCCACAGGGTGGTGCTCTATGGCTATTTTATGGTGAATAAGCACTTCCAAGTATTTGTATAAAATGCAATTTAAAGGCTTTTGTTTCTGAGGCTGGCTGTTTATTCATTGTTATTAACAATTTAATCCAGTCACACAAAATTTGTCTGCATCAGCAAAAAAATTCAATGGGAAGCCCACATGATGCTACGCCGTAACTATTGTTTCTGCTGTCTCAATTCGGTCCAAATTTAGTCAGTTAAAAATAAGGTGTTAAAGAAGCTTTTTTCCTTCTTTCATCAGAGTTCATTAATCTGCTTTTTTATAAATTATTGTCTTTGCTGCTAGAATCAGGCTCACAGAAATGTTTAAAAAAAAAAAATCCCAAAACACAAAACAAAATCAAACCAAAAAAACAAGAGTATCTGTGTATTTACATTATTCTGAAATGCACAGAAAACCGTAGAAACTGAGATACAAGTTTCCAAACATTTCAAGCACTCAGATCTGTCAGCGGTGGCTGAAAACAACAGTTTTAAGAAGCTGTGTGGCACCCGAGCCCACTCCCGAGCTCACCTGTTTCCTGTAAAGAAGGACGCACAGTGTGCCCCGGAACAAACCCAGCCTAGCCTCGGGAGCAGAGTCCGATCCCAGTTCCTCCTCTCCCTTGCACTCGGCTGCTCCCCTGCAGGCCAAGGGGAGGAACAGGGCGAGGGTGTTCTACTTCGGAGCGACAGTATGAGGAGTCAGAAATATTAGCACAGCTCACCATTATTTCTGCAAACGACCTGGATTATTCCCTGGCTTGGCACAGAAATCAGTTTTCCCGCTTGGCTTAGCGGCAGGGATCGGCCGCTGCCCCAGCACTCGGGGAAGCTTGGCCGGCTGCCCGTGGCTGTGCCGCTGCGTGTGACGGGGTGTGCTCCAGCTGCGCAAATTCGTGTCAGAATTCTCAGTGTCTCACACTCGATTTACTCCACCGGCACTGAGGGTGTGGAACTGTGCCAGCCCTGATGCCATGAACGCGCTGGGGAGGCTGCTCTGGGGAGCAGCGGCTTTCAGAGCTCGCTGGTTCACATCCTTAAACCCGTGTGTTTCTACCTGATGGTTTGGAATCCGAATCAGTGTTGTTCTAAAAGTCTGGTGATACCTCCTTGAGTTTTGCAGAAGGATCAGATCACACCTGTCTCTGTGTCTTAATCACCAGCTCTTGAACGTTTGAGCTGTCAGGAAATAAAACTGACACTTCAGACTGTTTAAAAATGGTAACTCATATGTGTGGGATTTTTCTGTGGAGTTTTTTCCTGTAATACTGAGATTTTTTGATTAAGGCTTTTAAACTCTTCTTTGAAAGGGAACAACTTTAGAATCAAGTATAGCTAAAATTCTTTTGTTCTCATGTGACTTGAAGAGCTAGTAATTTCTGTGTTTCTGAAGATGAAAAGATCATGAAGCCTGGTTTATATATAAGTACACACAGCCTGATTCAGTGCCAGTACTGGCATTGTCCCTCCTCCACTGTCCCTGGAGAACTTTGCAATCCACTGCAGTTTAAAATAACTTTCTATTACAGCCATTGACAATGCAAATTCACATGATAAAATACGTTTTATTATTCAAGGATATACAGGACAGTCTGAAAATGTGTCAATGTAGCAATTTCCTTTGTTCCTTGGGTCTGTGGCCCCTGCATAGCTGTAATGCCATTAGAGAACTTACTTTGTGTAGAGGGATTAGTAACTAAGTTATCCGGAAGCAGG